AATAATATGCGCATGATATAAATTTCATTATATGAAAATATTATATTTATATATGCATTCAAAATTAATACAATCTTAGCAGGCAATGTTACATCAATATAGTACATATTGCTTTCACGTTAAATTTTCATACATACATTTGGTACATTACTGCAATATGATATTGCTATTACAGAAATGTAACTATTTTGCTACATTACTCTAATATTTTAGTAATATTAACATTGCTACTCTATAATATCGGACATTAATATAACATTACATTGACATTCAATAAAATATAATTTACTGCAAATATTCTGGCAACATTCTAACAATAATAACGTTGACTTTTGTGCTATGTGGGTAAGTATGTAAAAACTTTTTATCTTATAAAAAATTATTATCCTTAATACATCTTTAAATAAATGAAAATAATTTAGCATAAAAATAATGTATTTCTGAAACTTTATTTGGTCTCTCTCTACCTAATAATAATAAAAATAATATTGACTATGGTTTGTGTGTGTGCTTAAAAAACACCACGCAAAGCCGTGTATACTCTTTCATTTTATATATCTATCCGAGGCGCTCAAAAAAATCGAGATCTCGAAACCGGAGTATCGATACTTCGTGACGTCACAGTATCGATAACTAACCTTTTTGAGCGATATGTCACGCAAAAGTTTAGGTTAAGATATAGAAAACAGAATATCTTGTAATTTATGAAGAATGTACGTATTTATCACAAAGATGACACAAGTTAGGACGATATTGCAGAATTATGCAAAAATCGGCATCGGTTTGTATGTGAGAGGCGTGAAAAATACTGCGAAACAAAGCTACACTAAAACCGTGCTATTGCCGCAAACTAACTTCCCGGTACGACTTGGCGGCAAGAAAAGAGTGGAGATGGATAATTATTTGATAGAAGTAGGTTTGTTGCACCTTTATGTAATTCACACGATTTTCTTTTTTGCCCAGAACTATCACCATATATCCGTCTTGGAACAGTCGCGTTTCAACAATAATACTGTCATCAGATTACTGAGAATTATATATTTTACAAATTAATAATCATATTTAACGGAAATATTTTTATGTATTATTACAACAGAAATGCGGCTTCTTGGAGTTATACAAATGGCAAAGGAAAAATCTCTCTGGACCAGATTTCATTCTGCACGATGGTCCACCCTATGCCAACGGAAAACCACACATGGGCCATGCTATTAACAAAGTTAATAACTTGAGAAGTACTTGAGTTAATAATATTGTTCTATTGTACAGATATTCAGCAAGAATTTTTGTGCATTCACAGATCCTCAAGGATATTACTCTGCGCAGTAAAATTATAACAGGTAGAAGAGTACATTATGTTCCAGGATGGGATTGTCATGGTTTACCAATTGAACTGAAGGCAGTCAGAGATATAAAAGACATCAGTCCCCTAGAGATTCGTCAGAAAGGTATGTTACAGATAAATATCAGGGTTGTGTTGTAGATTTTAAGATTATGTTTACACTGGATATTGTTTACATATTATCTATGTGATATATACACAATTTTTTTTCATGTGGACAATGTAAACTATGTAGAATATTGTAAATTATATTTAAATATATACAAAACAATAATTAAATTATAAAACAGTTATACACTGTTTATGTTTTGTGTATTAGAAATATAATGTTTAAAAACAATTACATTAACAGTAACAATGTTACATGAAATTTTCTCTTCAGTATGTGATAGATTTAACTTTGAAAAAAGTGAGAGGTGAGAATTCAACCAAGGAATTTGGTACACTTCAAGTTGTTTAGAAAACAACGTTCATAAATTTATATCAGAATTTTAAAAGTAAAATAAAACTATAAGTGCTTTTAATTTTTGTAGTAAACCATACGCGTCCTTTAAATGACATTCATATTTATTTACAGTCTACATAGAATAATATCTTATATATAGTTTATATTGTCAACATGTAGAATAAAAAAGTATCATAATTTATGTATAAACCCAGATAGCCAATTGTCTGTGAGTTTGCTGTTATGTTATCGACAACAAACAGGAACTAATTTAAATAAACTAGGAACAAGGTGAGACAGCATTATGTGTGTCGCATTGAACTCATGTGAATTCTAATTCAAATAATGGCAAATTAATGACAATACGTTGATGCAGATTTATAATCCGTTAAAAAGTTTTTGTCATGATGCTGACAATGTTGCTACTGTCGTTCACCAATTTACTCTTAAAATCTCGTCATTTAAATAAAAGCAATTATGTTGTTGCGTTTAGTAACGCGTTCATTACATGTTAACAAATATACAGCAAACATTTAACAATATCTGCTGTGCATTAATTTACTCAAAATACTCAATCATACTGGGCTATCTGGGAAGGTTCAACTCTGATAAATATTGTACTAATTGTCATAATCTCTTGCAATTTCTATATTGTAGCTCAAAAATATGCAAGTGATACTATAGGGAAACAGAGAGAAGCTTTTATATCATGGGGCACTATAGCTGACTGGAGTGAATCGGGATGTTATTTCACGAATCATCCGTCATATGTGAAGAACCAGCTGCAACAGTTTATGAATCTGTATGAAAAGGGACTTGTGAAAAGGGATTTCAAACCAGTGTACTGGTCGCCTTCCTCTAAGTATGTTCCATTTTGAATACTTCCACAACTGAATTCTAAGAAACTCCCCCTTAGTCCTTAATTTTTATCAAAATTTTTTATCGCCGCCAATCGTAGAACAGCACTAGCAGAGTCGGAATTGGAGTATAACGAGTCTCACAAAAGCAAAAGCATTATTATTCGTATGCAAGTCGATACATTGCCGTCAAATTTAAGAAGGTTAGAGAGTTTAGAGAAGAAGCCGCTTCATGCCCTTATCTGGACTACGACACCATGGACATTGATAGCTAATCAAGCTATAGCGTTCTCCAATGACACTGTCTACTGTGTAGTAGAGGATAACTCGAAAAATCTGTACATCGTTGCACATGCATGTATAAAATATGTTGAGGAGAAGCTCGGCCCATTAAAGCCCATTGCAAATATCAAAGGTATGGCTGCTTATATTTTGTACTTGTAAAAATATATTTATACTGTGGAACGTAATTAATCAATGCAGGACACGAGTTGGCTGAAGCGAGGTATCTCCATCCCATCACCAAGAAACGTTTACCCTTCTTACCATGCGAACATATTAAAACCAATGTTGGTACTGGGCTAGTTCATACAGCTCCAGCACATGGTCCAGAGGACTTTGTTGTCGCAGTAGAAAATAACATACCAATAGTAAGTCTACGGGATTGATTTCTTCATTTGCATCATTCAAAGCGCATAACAATTCATTCTATTTCTATACTATAGATATCTCTAGTGAACGAAGAAGGATGTTACACCAAAGAAGCGGGTGATAAGTTTGCCGGTTTAAACGTGCTATCTGACGGCGCCGATAGGATCTTGAATTACATCGCCACAGATGTGTTGCATACCGACACGCTCGTGCATAGCTACCCATATGATTGGCGCACCAAAAAACCTGTAATTATCCGCGCGAGTTACCAATGGTTCATAGACCTGAATCCCATTAAGCAGAAAGCTATTGTAAGTTAGTCAAGTGTTTCTGAGACGAAGCACCTTACTTTAAATTTGTACATTTTTACGATAGACTTTTTTCCTTACGCAAGGACAGCATTTCGAGTATAAAGATATATCCGGAGCAAAATCAAACGTCATATTTGAACGCGCTACTCGCTCAAATTAAGCAGCGACCATACTGGTGCATCTCTCGACAGCGATCCTGGGGCACGCCGATACCAGTGTTGTACAATAAACAAACCGGTGATGTGTTCACGAGCAGGTAATTTTTTTCTGTATTGTTTTTCTATATTAGATTAAGCTTCACATAAAAATCTATTCTATATGTAAATCATTTTTATATATATTTTATGTATTTATTTTATATTTAATTTCTTTTTTTTTATTATTTTTATATCCATTTTATATTTTATTCTCTCTTTCTTCCCCCTTCCTCTCTCTGTTTTTCTACATCAGGAATTG